CCCGAAACCCCAATCCCGAAGGCTCCAATATCCGGGCCCGAAGAATTACCAATGCCATTTAGGGCCTTGGGTTTAAAGTTGTCCAAAGCCCACTTCTGATCATCAAGGCCCATATACCAAACCCTAAACCCTTTCAGAAGCCCTTTTAGAACCTCCTTTACAGGACCCTGCAAAGAAGCATGCACGCATCCCAAAATGATTCCCCCAATAGACTGATCCCTTCTGGAACCAATGTAGAAGGAGCCCTTGACCCTAGACCCCAAACCCTAAACTAAACCCTAAACCTTAAAGCCTAACCCCTAAACCCTGAACCCTAAACCCTAAGCCCTAAACCCTAAACCCTAAACCTTAAAGCCTCAACCCTAAACCCTAAACCTTAAAGCCTCAACCCTAAACCCTAAACCTTAAAGCCTAAACCCTAAAGCCTAAAGCCTACACCCTGAAACCTAAACCCTCAAGGCGGTCCTCCGGTGCGCCCACTCTCGCGATGAGGTCGGTCAGAAGCCTCGGTTTAGGGTTGAGGGGTGAACTTCCATTTCAGGAAGGATTCCTTTGAGGGCTCTTTGACGGGTGTGGGGTTTGGGAATAGAGCTCAATTTTTGTATTTTTTTGGTTGGGGGGGGGGTGAGCTGTAACTTGTAGACCCCAAAGACTTTAAACCCAAAGCCCGAAGCCTTTAACCCCGTGAAGTCAAAACCCCAAATGCAAACCCAACTCTAATCGACACTTGGAGGGTCGGGGGAGTTGGTAAGTAGTTATTATATAGAGTTATCAGTACCCCACAAGCGACCCTAACTGGGATTGCACGTTGCAAAATTTTACACAACAGCCAGGTTGGATAGATAAACAGATACACAGTATACATGTGCAGGCCAGGATGCGAATGGACGCAACGGTTCCTCATCGTTTCTGAGGCCTCTGAAACTGCCGTCCAGGAAACGGCGGGACTGCAGGTGATCCTTTCCTTTGAAGTTGATGTCGAAAGGGAAGAGTGCGCGGGCTGCCACTCGTCGGACGGAAAGATCATGCGGGCTCGCCAATCCAGCCAAGATCCATGGCGAATGTTGCCAATACGACAATTTGGCGGTGAGTTCTGCCGAAACAACCGCTCGCGCAGCATCCCACGCCTGCTGGATACTCAGCTTTGTTTGTGGGTCGCTGACTTCGTTCTTGTGGCGACCCACTTCATTGGTCGCCTGATGCAAGAGAATGCCTGACTCTATAAGATAACTACTTACTACTGTTGATCAACCCTGCATTACCTTAACGACCCTTGCCTTTAGGAATTCTGGTAGGTTATGGTACTTGTAAGTCTTAAAAAACTAAACCCTAAACCCCTAAGCCCTAAACCCGCCAACCCTAAACCCCAACTACTTACAAGGCGTCCCGAGCTTTGACCTTGGAGCAGCAAGGTTCAACAACTTCAATCTTCTGAAGCCATCCACCATTACGGTTGATGATATAAATCCTGTAAAGGGTTCCTTTAAGGGATCTATAGGGCTTTAGGGTTTAGGGATATAAGTCCTGCATTACCCATCATAAGGAATATACCATTATCCCCAGAGTTTAGGCCGCATCATAACCGGAGCATAATCCTCATACTCGTCTAGCCATGCTCATGTTCAGATCAACCCCTAATAGGGTCCCTGTACCCAAATAGCATTTACTATGGTCCCAAAGTACCTATACAGGAATTACTGTAAGGCGAAGGTATATACTGTTTGGGTACATGGACCCTTAGGGAAAGCTATCAACTGCGTGGATGATGGGTTGGATGTCGGTCTGGGGCATGGGGGCTGGTAGGGGGGTTTATTGTTTCAGCGGTTAAGGCCGATTTAATGTGTACCTTAAGCTACACAAACCTGTGTTTTGCAAGGGCAAAGCGTCTTAACGTTAGCCGCAATACAGAAACCTTATGGACCCTGCCAAAGTAAGTTGCTGTATGCTAAGATAGGGTTCATGCTTCACGTAGTCTTCAGTCTTTCTTTGCCTTCATGACCCCAAAGAGCCCAATACCCCTTAACTAAGGAATATAGCTTAAATCATAATATGAAGCCCTCTCTAATTTAAGCCAGATTGCTTACATAAGGGGTATTAAAATTCCCCTGAACCCTAAGCCTATAGATCCCTTATAGATCCCTTAAAGGAACCCTAGGTATTCCTTAATTGAAGGCATCAGGGGCTCTCTGGGTCAGGTTTCAGGACCTTTGGGGCCTCAGAGTGCGGGTCCTCCTTCGGAAATCTTCGACGGCCCTACTTGGAGGATCATGGGACTTAGTAATTAGGGTCCTTAAGGGGTCCCTTTAAGGGAATCTATAGGGGTACTATAAGGATTCAGGGTTTAGGGTCTACTTAAAGGATCATGGGACTTAGTAACTGGGGATATTACGAGGGTAACTACACTTATAAGTGCTTATAACCTCAATTAAGGTACTTATAACCATACTTACCAAGTCCCATGATCCTTTAAGTACCAAAGCTTCACGAACCGCCGCTGAATCCCCAAGCCCTTTACAGGTTTAGTGGTTTAGGGTTTTGGGGGTTTAGGGGCTTAGGGTTTTGGGGTTTAGGGTTGAGGGTTTTTGAATTGTAAACCTGAACCCTAAACCCCCAAAAGCCTGAACCTTGAAAACCCTAAACCCCCCAGACCCTACCTAAACCCAAAGAAACCTCGGGACAAATTCGCCCGGCGACTTTTGCTGCAGCTGCAGCATTGGGCGCACATCCTCTGCTTCGGGACCCTGCTTCATAAAGAGGGCTCATGAGTAGAATAGCCATAGTTATAGCCCATATAGCCTATATTAGGGACTTCAAAGCTCCACTTAGGGAACCTATATAGCCTATATCGAGGGACTTCACAACCCTACTTCTGTTGATGATATAAATCCTGCACTACTTTAAGGACCCTAAACTATGGGAATTATGGTATATTCCTTACTATGGGTAATGCAGGATTTATATCATCAAGCGTTAGAACTACCCATAAGCCTCCAAGTGCGACCGGAACACTGAACTCCAAGCCGCTACACTTGTGATGTTCTCATACCCACACAGAGCCGTTTTGATGGTTTTATTCCAAACACAAATAAAACTCAGCGCAAACTCGATCAAGACTCAAACCAAGGGTCAGCCAAAAACTCAGCACGAATCGTAGCCTGAAACCATTGACTCAACCAAAACTCAGCCGAAACTCAGCCAAAACTCAGCCAAAACTCAGCCGAAACACAGCCGATTCCACTCACACAAAAAACTCACCCAAAACTCAAAAAAAACTCAATTCACGAGAGAAAACCTGGTTCCCCTCTACTAATTCTAGTATTGGTAATATGTAGTAACAGCAGCAACCATAGCAGTAGTAATGATTATAGTTGTGTATTAACAACAGTAATTACAGCAACAAGCAGTAGCAGTCGCAGTCGCAGTAGCAGTGGTGGTAGTAGTAGTAGTAGTAGTAGCAGCTGTAAACTCGCCGTAGCAACAGAAATGCTGGCAGCCGGAGTCGTAGTCGTATAGTACAGGTCGACAGCATCAGCAGCAGTTGTGGTAATAGTCCCCAGCGCATAAAATCAGAGTCCTGGGGTAGCAACCACCTTCCTGAAGCCCGGTTCTTGCAGAATTCCTAACTTCGAAAAGCTCCCAGTCCAGGTCTTAGGGTGTAGGGTTTAGGAGTTTAGCATTTTTCGGGGTAGGAATTGCGAGTTTCAAGTTTAGCGTTATTTAGGGTTTGGGGTTCCGGTTTACGTTTCGGGCGGATTTCTTGCGCAGGACCGCAGCAACAAGTTTATTGTACTGGCACTGGGATCCTTGATACTTGTGCGACCGCTACTGAGCCGCTACTGATTACTGCTACTGCTTGCTGGCAGCCTCTGCGTCGTTCCTGTGACTGCGGCGTTGAGGCCAGAGGCCCCAGCAACGGTACGACGACGGCCAGGATAAGGATAAGGACGACGTTGGATCCAATGAGGATTTAACATTTTAGGCTTTCGACAACCAGCAGCATAAGGCACCAAACTCCAGCATCGCCCCGGAGTCGAGGCCAAATAAAACAAGCTATATATCTTCAAATCCGTATATGCCCAGAACAACAAATACTTCAGCGCAGAGTCGTGAGAAGACTCCACGAAGCATCACCACATATGAGTTTAGGCAAATATCGAAATCATTCGGAGTGTCGCAACCAGCCGTGTAAGGCACGAGACTCCAGCATCGCCCCGGAGTCGAGCCCAAAATAAAGCAAGCCATGTTGTATATCTACAAAATCAAATATATCAATGGTGATAATTCCAGAACAAAAGCACTCCACGAAGTATCACGTATGAATATAAGTCGAAATTCAAATTATTCGAATCATATCGCTTACCACACCCGCTCCAGAAGCCGTGCCACTTTTGCTTGATCGGCAGAAACATCGATCGTGCCTTCCGAGTGTCCTCAGCCTGATCGCCTCTGGCTCATCCGTCAAATTTAGATTGAACTCTAAAGCTCTAAAGTTCGAAGGTCGGGCAGGGTTTTGGGTGTGTGTGTGGCGATTTTGCATTCGAAGTTCCATTATTGTTCTCAGACCTAGGATATGGTGACATGATGTGAACTGCATCGGCAGGCGCAGTGCAGTTACGCATAGGGCCGATTAAAGGTTTAAGGTTTAGGCTTGAAGGTTTATATGCAGGAGTTTAGGGTTGGGTCGGGTTGAGATGACGGTGCAGGTGCGGTCAGGTCCGACGTTGAGCCCTTCGGCCCTCGTGATTTGACTAGCCGCCACAACTCGACTCCAGCAGACTCAGATGCCGCCGCTTGCAATACCGAGCCTTTCAGGTCTAACCCGGCAGCCTTAAACCTCTTTGAAGCCTAAGCCCTAAGCCCTAAGCCTTAAGCCCTCAAAGCCCTGAAGCATGGTAGCCAGTACCGTAATCCTAGTCCTAGCCGTGCAGCTAAACATTCGAATCTGACAGGGTGGATCGGCAGCCGGAAAAAACCTTGGCCACTGGCCTGAAGCCTTAGGCTTAAGCCTGCGCCGTTCCGCGGGCCAAAAGCTCACGCAGCTTTTCCAAGATTTTCGGGTGCATGCATGCCTCATCAATGACTTCACCGGCAATCAGGGCTTCCTGGGCTCGAAGGCTTGCGAGGATCGCCTTTGTGGGTGTTGAGGTGGCAGCCCACATCACCAAGCCCTCACAGAATGTCATGCGGAAGCCCTTTGTGGCGGTCTGCAGGATTTTGCTCTGCTCCTCAAGCGCATTCCATCCATTGAGCTCCAGGCTGTCGGACTGCTTTCGCAAGCACTTGATCACGGCACCGAAGTTCTTCTGCGTCTGCTCAGCAGCCTTGGACACCTGCATTTTTAGCGCTATTCTATTGTGTGTGCCACCGAGAGGAGGGAGTGAAGGATGTGCAGAGTACGGGTTGATGGAGTGCAGGAGTGCAGGAGTGAGGCACAGGCATTGAGTCATTGAGCATCGCAATCTTATTCGTGCAGCTCGCGATGGACCCAGAGTCTTTAGGTTCATCTGCAGCATTATTGTTGTTTGTATTCGTTGTGGTAGCGTTATGAGCATGAGCATGAGCATGAGCAGCAGCAGCTCAGTAGCAGTAGCAGCAGCAGGAGTAGCAGGAGTAGCAGGAGTAGCAGGAGTAGTGTATAGTCGTCGTCGTAATCGTAGTCTTAGTCATAGTCGTAACGGTAGTGGTCGTAATGGGAGTTAGTCACTCAGTAGGAGTAGGAGTCGGAACACAACATATAGTTCCTACCAGGTCAGGTCCTACCTACCAGGTCCTGTCCCACCAACAACACACAATGCCTCCTCCATCACTTCAATCGCATCACCCAATGTCTTGCCCTCCACATCTTTCAACGCCTCCGCGCCGATGCGAAGCACTGTCGGGCCGTCGGCAGTGTCCGGGAGTTGACGCCGCCAGTCATTCTTGCCGCCCAGCTGCTTCTCTTGCACGATACACGCGGTCTTGCTGACTGCCATTGAGATTCTCTCGACCATCGACTGGCCAACCGCATTCAAAGCATCGATCAGCACGCTCCAGTCCACGGTGATGTAGCTGTCGACGGGGCTTGTCAGTAGCATACCGACCACTTCCTGATCAGCCTTCTCATAGCCGCTGATCTCCTCGTTGACTTTCTTGATTCCAGCACTCAGGGCCGTCTTCGTCTTGTCGAAGGTCAGGAAGATCTTTGCGACATTCGCGAGATTGATGCCGGAAGCATCTCTCCGCACACGCTGGGCCGTGGAGGGACCCAATTTCTCATAAGAGGCAAGACTGTCACGAGCATTCGACGTCAGCGTCAACATGAGCAACAACTGCTTCGCCAGCTCTGCAGCTGGATGGTTGCTTTTCACCACAGCACTTTGCAGCATGTCGAGCTTGGGGCGAAACATCGCAGACCGGGGTCCACACTCGCGTTCTCGGTTTCCGACCTCACTGAAAATCCATGCTGGTACTTTGCTGCTTCCCTGCACTTGTCTGGTTCTATCCCGTCTGCGACTGATTATGCCGCTACACTACACCCCGGGCCCCAAACTCCATACCCCAAAACAAGACCATATACCCGAACCACCAAACTAAACTCACGAAACGGCTATGGCTATGCCATATATACCCCAAACCTCAGACCTAAACAACTGAAGCCGCAAACCCGACACCCTAAACACTGAAACTAAAACCTTAAGGCTGAAACCCCAAACTCTAGACCAAATTACCCTTTCCCAACCAAACAAGTGCAGGAAACAAATACAACCACACAATGCCCAGGTCCCAGGTCCTAAGTTCTGAAGCCCCGCCCCATGTGCCAGGCCACCAAGTCGGCAGGCTACAGCAGGTATAAAAGGTCATAAATTGCCAGCTGTGGTGCAATGTTCAAACGAGCGGATTCATATGTTCAGACGGCCACAAACCTATGAAGGCTCAAGACTCAAGACTGCCACCTAATATGGGTTCCTACGCGGCTACGGCTACGACGGTTCAGACTTGACTGACTTGACTTATCTGGACCTTCTTTTATTTTTGGACCACTGGACCTACCTGGACCTACCTACCAGATTAGAAGGACAACTCTTACAAGGGCAAGGAAGTGCACAGACACATCTGACACTGACATGAAGGAACAACCATGCTACCCTGCCACGACTCCCCAGCATGACGAACCAGATGCAAAAATTGTCTAAGCTTCCTGCATCCATCTCAGTCTTGAGGAAATCCTCCAAGAAAATGTGGAAGGTCCGTGCCAAGGCCCTCGTGATCTCTGACCGGGTCTCGAGGTCGGGCACACGTGGAATATCATCGCTGAGGAGGACCCAATCGGCTTTGTTGCAGCTGACCACATCAGCCAAGCCGCTCAGCACCCTTCGCAAAACCAACTCGCCTGCCATCTTGGCTTGCCATTGACCGAGTTTCTCCGCTGTGCCGGCCAAGGACTCGTCTGATGCGAAAATCTTCTTCACGCCATCCATGAAGGCCTCCACGCTCCTCATAGCCAAGCCTTCCGGGGAGGTAGCTGACGTGATGTGCCGTGCGATGGGGTCCACCATCTGGCGAAGATACTGTTCCAGCCGCTTCGTGGCGTTGGGCTTGAGCTTCTCGCGAAGGTCCGGAAGCTGCTTGAAGGCATCCGCTGTCGCATCCAACCAGGAGGTTGCATCAAACTCCCCACTCTTCAGATTCTTGATGTGGTCCTCCAAGGCCTTCAGCTTGGGGAAGGCCAGCTTGCCTGTCGCAGCGAACTTGTTCGTGCTGCTGATGGCGCCAGTCCAAAAGCGGTGGTCGCTGAGGAGGCTTTTGATGGAGTTCTCCAGCACCGATGGGCCCTTGTAGTTCAACAGCGAAAGCATGTTCTTGGCAGCCAGGCCCTCTCTTTCTGGGGATGCCAGCAGCATGGTCAAAAGAGCCTTGACGAGCTCCCAGATACGTGTCACAGCCTCCGTGAACGGCTTCGCATCGTCACCGGCGTCGATCAAGGCCTGCCATTCGTCCATCTCCACGTACTTCTGAAGCACATGGTGCATGTGCGTCAGGAAGTACGTGAGATTCTTGATGTGGTTCTCCGCCAGCTTGAGGCCCTTCAGGAAGATGTCGTTCGCGAAGCAGTCCACGAAGTGCTTCCGGAAAACCTCACAAACATGGAACAGCTGCTAATTTGTCGTTGCTGTCACCATTAACACTGGTTATTGCTGCTCTTGCCCTGACTGGCTAACTGTGGTGCAAAACGACATTCTGCTTCAAGGCACTAGAGTCTATAGTCACACGTCACTAGACTGTCTAAATCTCCCTAGCCTCGACTGCGAGTGGGCATAACGGCATAACCCATCAGTGTCCAACATGCGACGACACCCGATTCGGCTGATATGCACTTCTCAAACATGCGGGTAAACCGCAAGGTGCGGTTCCAGGTCTGGCTATTGTACACACCACCAGCCACAATTACTATGACTTAGAGATAATCAGACACATAGAAATCTCAATCATGTTCAATGCTTCGCCTTCCACTCCTCGGCAGCTGCTGTGACCTTTGCCGGCTTTGGCGAGGTCTCGGGCGCCTCGGAGCCGTCCACGCAATCCTCGAAGGACAAGGATTGCTGCACAGACGACTCTGACGACAGTTGCGAAGTTACCAGGGCTGGCAAGCGGGGCTTCGAGATGTCAAACGGCTCGGAGGCGGCATCCGACAGGGGAAGCAAGATTTCCGCAAAGGCGTTGCAGTTGCTGATGAGCTCTTGATCGCTTTTGGCCGCCAGCGCCAACTCGAGTGCATTCACTGCTTCAAGCTCCACAACACACAGGCAGACGTCCAGCGGGATCGACAGATCCGTGTCCTTGCCAGCCAAACCCTCAACGGCCTCTCTGTACTTCGGCCAGTCCAAGGGGCTGGACACGACACCCTTCTTGCGCTCTGCCACCTCTGCCAACAAGGTCGCGAAGCGGCACTGGCGGATCCGGTTCCGCAGCACGAGGCCCTGAATCGCGTCACTCTCATCGAGCGTCTTCAAGACTCTCTCCGCCTGCATTGGGACACAATCTCAAAAGAAACACCATAATTAGGCCATGTATTGCTTTACTAGCTGCTAGCTAGTTCGTTAGTCAGGTAACTAGGTAGGTAGGTAGGTAGGTAGGTAAATAGGTAGGGAGGTAAGTGGGTGTTGGTTAGTTAGTGAGGCCATAAATAATGGATTAAGTCGTAAGTAGTTACTTGAGTTGGTCGGTTGGTCGCTTGGTTGCTTGGTTGCTTGGTTGCTTGCTTGGTTAGTTGGTTGGTTGGTTGGTTGGTTGGTTGGTTGGTCGAGGTTTGGTCGGTTGGTTGGTCAGTGGGTTGGTTGGTTGGTTGGTGGGTTGGTGGGCTGGTGGGTTCGCTGGTTGGTTGGTTGATGTGGCTGGTTGGTGGGTGTAGTTGGCTGGTGGGTAGGTGGGTTGGTTGGTTGGTTGGTAGTGAAGTGGTTTGGTTGGCCGAGGTTTGGTCGGTTGGTTGGTCAGTGGGTTGGCTGGTTGGTGGGTTTAGGGGTTGGTGGGCCGGGTTGGTTCGTTGGTAGTGGTTTGGTTGGTAGAGGTTTGGTCGGTTGGTTGGTTGGTGGGTTGGTTGGTGCGTTGGTTGGTGGGCTTGTTGGGTTGGGTGTGGGCCTGGATCGTTGACATATGCAACGCAACTCGGCTGGCGTCTGGAGACACTGTTTTTTGGCAAAGGCATAAGATTTTCGATAATATTTCAGATTGGCTTACTGTGGAAATTGGTTATAGTAACGGTTTGACTGTAAATATATGCGAATATGCATGTTTAAACGGCTTCCAATCTCCAGCATCAAGACTGGATGAGAAACTCTGTGACACAGTCACTATAACACGAGCTGCTAGCCGCTAGGACATGAATCTAGGGCACTATGACTCTAAGACTCTCTGATTTCTATTACACAAACTGCCAGTCTTGCTGATTTGCTCAATAAAACACGGATAAACATGTTGAGACGGCCTCAGAATCCAAAATCTGAAGACTAAAACACGGCTAAACATGTTGAGACGGCGCCAGAATCCAAAATCGGAAGACTAAAACACGGATAAACATGTTGAGACGGCCTCAGAATCCAAAATCTGAAGACTAAAACACGGATAAACATGTTGAGACGGCCCCAGAATCCAAAATCGGAAGACCGGCCTCAGAATCCAAAATCTGAAGACTAGAACACGGATAAACATGTTGAGACGGCCAGAACGGCTAAAACACCGATAAACATGTTGAGACGGCCTCAGAATCCAAACTCTGGAGATCAGAACGGCCTCAAAATCCAAAATCTGAAGACTAAAACACCGATAAACATGTTGAGACGGCCCCAGAATCCAAAATCGGAAGACTAAAACACGGATAAACATGTTGAGACGGCCTCAGAATCCAAAATCTGAAGACTAGAACACGGATAAACATGTTGAGACGGCCTCAGAATCCAAAATCTGAAGGCTAGAACACGGATAAACATGTTGAGACGGCATCAGAATCCAACATCTGGAGACTAAAACACCGATAAACATGTTGAGACGGCCTCAGAATCCAAACTCTGGAGATCAGAACGGCCTCAAAATCCAAAATCTGAAGACTAAAACACCGATAAACATGTTGAGACGGCCCCAGAATCCAAAATCGGAAGACTAAAACACGGATAAACATGTTGAGACGGCCTCAGAATCCAAAATCTGAAGACTAGAACACGGATAAACATGTTGAGACGGCCTCAGAATCCAAAATCTGAAGGCTAGAATACGGATAAACATGTTGAGACGGCCTCAGAATCCAAAATCAGAAGACTTTGAGCGACTACCATTTACAATTGGTTGCCTGGAAGATGCTTCTGCCCATCTTGTTGCCGAAGCAGTTCTCCTCGCGAAGCTTCAAGAAGCAATCCGGAAGGTAGCCGAGCCTGACCACCACTTCATGGAGCTCGGGATCTGCAGCGCGGAACTCCATGGATGTTGCCTCGTCCAGGCTCTTGGAAGCAGGGCGGATGCTTCCGGAGACTCTGCTGGCGCTGGCAGCGTCCTCCTCCGCCTGATTCTGAGTCTGAGCGGTCTCCCTCCTGTTCTTCTTGGCCCTGCTTTTCGGATTTGCATTCATGAGCCTCCTGTTAGCGGCTGCGATCGACCCGAGCTCGATGATCTCGGCCTCGGGCGGTGTGAACCCAGCCGCAGCGCCTGCCTCCTTCTCTCGCTCCGCATTGATCTTGTCAGCCTTTGACCGGAGACACTGCATCGTGGGCAAAGTTGGGCCGTGGCCGTTCAATCCTGACGGTCTGTCTTTGACCTGGGTATAGTTGTCAAAACTATGGTCCCTTTTTTGGTACCCTAAATATTAGGTCTATTAGGTTATTAGGTGCCATACTATATTAGGGCCATTAGGGATAATTAGGGACCCAAAAAGGATCATAGTTTTGACAACTACCTACCTACCTACCTCTGCTTGGCACACGAAGTCGTACGTGTTGAGGCCTTGCTGCGTGCACAACTGGTTAGACGGCTGCAGGAGCATCTCGTTCTGAACGCAGTTGTGCTGAGACCAAAGCTTCGTCTTCCGAAGGCTGAGCAAGTCGCCGAGGGGCAAGTCCAGTCCCTTCATGCTGATATAGCATCCGGTTTCGAAGCCGGTGCCATACTCATTGGGGCGGTTCACCATGTTGAGCCCCAAGGCCTTGCTCGACATGCCCAGATAGTGGGTGATGTCGCTCTCCACCAAGAATGCAACCTCACGGTAATGCATCATGCCCTGCTGCTGGGAGCTCAACACTTCACTCGGCGGGTGGATCACAGGCACGGCGCCATCCTCGTCCCTCGCTTCGAGAGCCGCTGTGCATGCATCGACCGTGCTCTTCACCTTCGCGTGCTGGGGATCGGACGGATCGTTGTAGATCCTGACACCTTCTTCCAACGGCAAGCAACACCCGGAGGTCACGCCGGTCCTGCAGTTGCGGCAGCAAGGGCCGATTGGCCTGCCCTGGCCATCGCGCGGCCACTGATCCTTCTCAAAGTCCTGCGATGACCAGGATGACGAAGAGAAAGATCGACATTATCAGTCAGTATCATCGTCAATATCAGTCACTATCAGCAGTATCAACAAACAGTCAACAAACGAAGCCGGCACTTGCTACGTAGACATTCAATGCTCCAGGCTTCCGTCAGCTCCTTGATACATCACTTTATTGCAATGTTTTTTTTCAACTGTCTTCTTGTGCCAGGAGCAAGGCACTGTTCTGAAGATTCGTCGCTGTTGTAGGGCATCACTTCTACTGGGGGGGCAATGGATGCACTTGGCACGATCGACAAGTGATGGGTTAATGAAGGCTGGGGGTGCATACACCTCCCACGCACGTTGCATTATCATATGAACATCAGTTTCTATAATGCTACAGTTTGCTAAAGTGCTACAGCCGTCCGTGCCAACACTGCCGCAGGGAGGCGAATTTCCACACCCACGTAAGCGAGGCGAATTCCACACCCACCACCAACAAAAAAGAGCTTCCACGCCCACCTAATAGCCTAACCGAGGCGAAATACACCCACCAACAAAAAAATCCACACCGTAAGCGAGGCGAACTTCAACACCCAGCATCAAAAATCCACACCCACCTAAGCGAGGCGAATTTCCACACCCACCGACAGAAAAATCCACACCCACGCGGCGAATTTCCACACCCACCAAAAGAAGAATTTCCACACCTATCAACAAAGAAGACTTTCCACACCCACCTAAGCGAGGCGAATTTCCACACCCACCAAAAAAAGAATTTCCACACCCACCTAAGCGACATGCTTACTTCAATCTGTTCAATCCAATCTGTTTCATTCAATCTTCTATTCATGGGAGAAGTACCCAGTCCTTCACACTGTAGCCGCAAACCCCGCAGTAGCAAGCCACTTCTGCCACAGCGCGGCGCCTCTTGCTTTGCGGCTCCGAGACAGGCTCCGGAGTCAGATCCTCGTCGATAAGCCAGCCCCGATTCGCCCGGGGTGTTGTAAACACTTCCTCCCGAGGCTCCGTCTTCACCACCGAAGCCTTGGCTTTGGCCTGCCGGCATGACAAGTATCTGCAAACTGCTTTATCACTGCCATCTAGAGTCACATTCAAATCTGAACCACCGTGAGAGAGGAAACAACCCAGCCTTCGCTGCTGTCTTCTTGGGCGACATCACAGCAACACTGCCAAAGGAAATCAAAGAGTTCGATTGCTCGCAAGCGCTGAAAATCAAGATCTTGAGACATACGGAACAAGCAGAACACCTGTCCAGCATGCATTGTTGACTGCGCACTGCCGACATTATTGACTGAGCACTGCCGACGGATTCGGTCTCATGCATTTTCCCACACCCGTCCCATCAGATCAGCTGAGAAGTCTTTTGATTGTTTGGGCCCTGACAATTTCGGCCCTGCCGTGTCACGCAAGCAAGATTGACTGTTTCAAGCAGCTTGAATCAGCTTGAATACAATTATGCCACATGCATAACTTTTCAGTACTGCTCCAGAACTTGCACGCACAGCTGAAACTCGAAGCCGAGAGCGACTTGGGAAGATGACCAAGCTGCACTAGTCACGAGGCCAACCACCAGTCACTAGTCAGTCGCACTAGTTCACTCGTCACTCGTACTAACACACTCACTACACTAGACTACAATCGAACTACGAAATGATGTTGAAGCACATTAAATTCATGGCTCATACTTCCCAACAGCCTCAACAGCCTCTCTAAAGCTTCACTCGCCACTCGTCGCCAGCGCCTGCGACTTAAACTCGAAAACCTAAAAGGCTCTAGGGCCCCGGCCAAGGCCAGGGCCGGGTCATGAGGCCCGGCATCTTGCACACCGCAGTGCTGAGTCTCTTCGTCCTATGGCCTATGTACATCTACGTCCTAGGTCCTAGGTCCTCCGGTTGACGATATTTATCCCGCATTACCTTAAGCCTTTAGGGACCCTAAACCCTAAACTATGAGAATTATGATATGTTAGTTATTATGCTTATTACCGGTAATGATTAATGCAGGATTCACATCATCAACGGTAGGTCCTAGGTCCGAAGGCTAAATCTAAGCACAATAGAGATACCTGGTTACCTAGATTTTAGATTCTCCAGAATCTATCAGAATCTATCAACAATCCACTCTGCACGCCTCACCAACAGGGTGAAACCTTGCCGGCCTTGCCTGATGCCGACACGAAAGCAACATAGACTAAAGTGAGGCTCGGCCTTCAGCGGTGCCCAGAGCGACAACCACCGTAGCCACAACCCAGTTTATACCATACCATACCATTTCACTTAGCAGACCTAGCATAACTCTAGACTCTAGACTCTACACTCCGAAACTCTCCAGAAACCCGCAACTGACCATGAGTTTAGCAGAATCTAGCAATCTAGCCCTGCTATAACCGTGACCCAAACCAAAACATAATCAATCACTGTGTTCACTTGAAACACACCAGCCGCTCGATCACCACTGAAAGGGCAACTCATCGGATTCCGGGGAACCAGACTTCTGAAGCAGCACATACAACGACAAAATGGCCTGAGCCAAGCACGGTGCACTCATGGAGTTTCCAATGAGTAGCTTCAAGTTGCCTGCAGACAAACCTTGCGGGAATACCAGCGTTCTGGGGTATCCGTGCCAGCGGAACAACTCTTCAGGCTTGACTGCTCTGTCCAAACCGAAGCTGTAGAGCATGGTGCTGGTGGTCACAGTAGGCAGTATTTGCCCTTCATGAGCAAACTTTCGACGCTCATGGCTTTGAGATACATCCACGAACGATCTACGCATGACTTCATCGATTCTTTCGCGTGTAGCATGCTGTGATCCCAGTCGCCGCTCCTTCATGCGGTCAGCTGTTACAATGTCCATAATATCCTTGATTCGTGGCGTCAACCTGATACCTTTTGCCAACACTTTTCGCGAATTGGTCCACGGAGCAAAATTGAAGGGAAGCTTCAAGGTATCCCTCCATGCAACAGACTGTACCTTCCACTTCCTGTTCTCGTCCTCGTGCTCATCGACAATCTCTGCAGCCTCAAGTGAATTATTCTACCATTCTACCAGATTCTACCACGTCCCTGCATACTTGGCCTGGGTTGCTAGCTGAGGGCTGGGGACTAGGCGGCTGCACGTGCCTCATGTACACTTGACTAATCTGGCTGAGTTTTTTCTGAGTCCCCAGGATCGGCTTGGTTTTATGCTGAGTGTTTGAGCAATTGTCTTTTGAGCTTTTGTTTGAGTTCCGTTTGAGTCTTTTCGGAGTTTTTGCTGGGTTCTGGCTCCTGCCCACCACTTCCGAAGCCTGAAAAGGCTGAGTTTTGGCCGAGTATGTACTGAGTTTGTGCTGGGTTCCGGGCCCTCCCCGCCAGGACCACTTGTGGCTGTGTTTTGAGTTTTGGCTGAGTTTTGGAGCCCTCCCTCAACACTGAAAAGGAGGGTGGGGAGGGCCCCAAACCACAGCCAAAACTCAGCCAAAACTCAGCCAAAACTCAGCCAAAACTCAAAACACAGCCTCCAGGAGGCTTTTGGGGCCTGGGAGGAGGCGCACCCTCCTGCCGGGCCCTTTTGAGTTTTGGCTGAGTTTTGGCTGAGTTTTGGCTGAGTTTTGGCTGAGTTTTGGCTGAGTCTTGGGGCCCTCCTCCTGCCCGGCCTCCCAGGCCCCAAAAGCCTCCTGGAGGCTGTGTTTTGAGTTTTGGCTGAGTTTTGGCTGAGTTTTGGCTGAGTTTGGGCTGAGTTTTGGGGCCCTGGGGCCTTCCCCGAGGGCTCCAAAACTCAGCCAAAACTCAGCCAAAACTCAGCCAAGACCCAGCCAAAACTCAGCCAAAACTCAAAACGCAGGCTTTTCGTGCCTGGGAGGAGGAGGGCCCCCAAACTCAGCCAATCAGCCAAAACTCAGCCGAAACTCAAAACACAGCCGCCAGGAGGCTTTTGGCTGAGTGTTTATTGAGTTCGAAAACAACCACCAGCAACTCAGAAAATACTCGAACAAACACCCCAGCAACACACCCGAAAACTCAAAAGAAACTCAGCCGGAACCCACCCGAAAACTCAGCCGGAGCCCACCCAAAAACTCAATCAAATTCAGCCCTGCAAAGGGCATTCATTGGGGACTCAAAAAAAACTCAGCTCTGCTAGGGCTGGGGCTAGGGCCTAGGGCCGGATAGGGCGAACCCCAGCAGCACAGAAAGAATGCACTCGCGCAACAAAAACACACGAGCAGTCTACAGGAAGATTCTAAGTGCAGTTAGATTAACCGCGTGGTTCATGGTCGGCTGAGAGTTTGAAGCTTTCAGACACGAGAGTTACGAGAGAGGTGGGTGGGAGGGCTTGTGCACTGCAAGCTGACATCCAAATTGTTCTTGATCGCCCTCGCCCTACAAACACTACAATTCATTACAACCACAACATACATGAAATCCGACTTGGCCGTGACTGCAAACCTGCAATGACTGGAGTGGTCTCAGCAAAGCAACGACTCCAGAATCAGGAGTTTCATCCTCCGGCTCCTCATTCAAGAGGTCGAACAAATCCAGATCCGTCATTGAAGCCGATGCTCCGAAATCCTGCTGCAAGCGACAGCCCACCAATCACGAAATCATCCAGATCTAATACCATGTTCAGTTGGCTTGGACTTGAGTGACAAGAATGACCATAGGGCCCCCCAAAAGCACATTAGCAAAAATTAGGATCGGGAGACCCCATATAAATACCCTTATAATGAAGCCCAATACGGTAGGATATCCCCATAAAATGCTTATGCTTATGTGCTTTTGGGGGTCCCTAGACCAGAAATGTTCGATTGTCGCGGCAAGTTTACGGACACCTATAGATAGATTCTATAGATTAGATTCGTAGCTGGCTCATGGCTGCGATAGCTGTCACACCAACCAGCCAGCAGCCAGCAACAATCTGCAACATCAGTGAAGTACCACACTCGTGCATTGAACATGACGACGACTCCGCACCTCCATGAGCTCCTTGGCCTCTCTGATGTCCCTCTCGTCGAAGTCGCGACGGTTGAGCAAGAGCACATAGACCCTGCCAAACATCATGCAGGACTGCACTGGGCATGAAAAGCATTGGTCACTGGCACTACATAAAGCAGCACCGCCAACGCGCAGACAATTTTTGCAAGCCAGACAGCAGGAGCGACATATCACCGGATTCACCTGATCACCTCAGGCTCTGAATCAGAACCTTCAGGCTTGTCGGCTTCGACTGCAAACAACTCAGCAGCTCCTGGTACAGCTTTCAATCGTTCCCTTGCAGCGACACGTGCTGCCCTGTTCCGGTGGATTGATGAACTGAAAACATGATCATTCTTCGGCGCAAAATGGTCCTGTTCTTCCAGCCAGGCTTGTAAAAAGCCGAGCGGGCGTCCTTGACCCCGATTTCCGGATCTCTGACTCTTGTTTGGATCCGGAGCAGATGCAGTTCGCTGTTTCTTGCAGACACCCAGGCCATGCTTCTGACAATCCGCAATGAAGATCTTGGTTCTGGGGTTGTAATGAATTTTGCCCAGATTCGGAATCACCAAGACCTTCTCAACAGCCAACTTCTTGCGAGCACTAGCTTTGGCTGCAGCTGCATCTGCAGGTGCATCTCTTTCATTCGGGTTCATCGCTTCTGGATCCGGCTGAATCCCGCCTGCTCCAGCCCGTGCTCCGGAGGATGATGCGGCTGAGCTACGACCACGCAGCGAAGTCTCGAAAGTTGCCGGGTCAAAGTTAAAGTCTATGTCCCCAACACCTGCGGCCGCATGATACTCAGGGTCCTCAGGCAGAGGCATGCCATCGATAAGTCGTTCACTGAGGGCCGTCAACTCATCGATATCATCATCAGCCTCATCTGCTTCTGCATTCTCTGCATCTTCAAAGAAATCTGCAGGCAACTCGACCTCGCCACCGTCTGCAGCTCCGATGTCCTTGTCGGGACTGTCATGAGCAGCTTGATCAGGACCCTTGTTTTTCGCACCTTGGCCCGCCGTACTGGATCCGGATGGCCTAGATCCAGATCGCTTCGCGGCTTCTGAAGCAAGTTGATCCTCCTTGGCTTTCCCTTGCCAAACCATGAACTTGGGAATGCTGTCCGGATTTGAGTCTCGCATGGCAGCAACAAAGATGTTCTTTGCTGCAGAAAAATCTTCCACTGACACTGCTGTCTCATCCGACAGAATGACGTGAAAGCTGGCAAGCCACGGGGACTCCAGGTTCAAACTGGACAGAAGCTCAAAAGATGTTTGCACACACAGCTCTTCGCTCGTCAGCTCCAAGCGAGTCACCCAACGACCATGGTCCAGAATCTCCTCGCTCTTGGCAAACTTGACACCTGACCAGTGCCAGGTCCGGAAATTGAAGTAACTCAAATGCACCCACACACTCTGAGAGCAAAGGCTTGAGTCAGAGCCAAAGCCAACCAATGCTTGCAACCACGAGCCGGGTTGTCCCATGGCCACTGCCTTTTGAAGGTCTTCCCGCAAACCGAAAGTAGCGTCTGGAAGCAGGGCCGGCTCCAACTTCAAAACCAAGGACCCATCCTCCAAAAGTTTCCGCTGCGGGGTCTTCGGCGGCTTCTTGGCGACCTTGGGCCCTTCCTTCGGCTTTGCCGCCCGCTTGGCAATCACAGAAGGCTTGAGCAGCGACACAAGATTCTTATGGCATCGATAAGCCAACGCCTGCTGTGGAATCTTCCCACACATGCAGAACTGGAGCTGGCAGCACACAGGCGGCTGCTGCTGCCGCAAATCTGGCAGCTTGTCCACTGCGTCATGAAAAATAATCTCATGTCTTTTGTCCCAGCAGCTTGCCAAACGAGGTTGCAATCCAGAACGCCCATTTGACAAAGCATCCTGCCACAACAAAAGACAAGCTAGCGAATGATAGCTCGTGACTGGTGACTAGTGACTCACAGGCGGTTGCAGGCTGGCAAGTAGGTATAGTCACCAGGTAGCAACACTAGCTAACAGCTAGCAGCTAGCAACCAGGACCTAGGACCTCTAGGACCTAGGACCCGTAGAAACACCGTCTCTTGTGGACGGAATTAGCAAAAACTACGGACAGGTTTGGACTTTGGTATTGGAACATTGTAGTTTGGACTGTAGCTGTTGTATTTCTCTTACATTTTGTTAGGCAACAGCTACACCAGCAGCTTCTAGCACAGAGGTCTGGATTCGGGCCTGGGGCCTAGATTCCTAGATTCTAGGGCCTAGATCGCATAGGACACAAGCACAAGCAAAACCCGAGACACAAGACACGCTTTATTACAGGTAAAACCCAAGACTCAGGAACAACCTCAGGGGATGGGGCAAAGATGAGGAGTCCTTGGTCACCTTGGCATTCGGCGGAAAGAGCTCGAAGCAAGGAAAAGCTTGCACATGAGGCAAGCAGGTTTGCGTCAAAGTCTGCTCAAAGGCTTCTGCTGGGGACACCGGAGAAGAAACCAAGTTGAGGCCCAGCCGACCTCTTACATACTGCGCCAGCTCGTCAAGAAGCAGTCCGTGCTGGTGCTTTTGCTCTTGCTTCTGCAGCTTGCTCTCGTCGAAAATCTGAACCCGGCTTTCTGACAGCTGAGCACAAACCCTGTCACCATCTGAGGAATCCACCAAAGGAAGCTTTCGCTTCTTCCCCTGCTTGGCTCTGCTGACTGGTCCGAAAGCTCGGTTCCCACTCTTGTGCGACAGTGTTGCCGCCGCCCCCACATCAACATACTGCTGTTTGTCACGCCCAACAGTTGCTCTGTATGCTTTGTGTGCATCCCGAAAAAACTGAGCCATATTCACCCCTTTCGCTCGATTCTGCCTCAACCTTTCACTGATGAATGCTCGGCACGAACCTCCTCCGCCTGAGCGTTGTGGCTTCTTGCGGCGAGATGCATCAGGCTCGGCAGGTCGCTGGCGTTGCCTTTTTCTAAGAGGGCGACGACCTCTCTTCTTTCCAACCTGTACTTTCAGTAGCACACGGGCCAACTCTTCTCTTCGGGAACAGTTTTGCCGCACAGCGAACTCTGCAGACAGTTTTGCAAGGGAAGCCCGCCATGTTTGTACAGAACTGGCTTCCAGGACCCGCCGGATGGTTGCATGCTTGCTCTCGACATTGGAGATGTCAACTAAAGCCAACGAAGCAGTTAGTGACAGAATTGCCTGAGCACGCGCACCACAGATGCCATCTTCTTCATCCGTGGTATTCTGCGGAAAAGTCTTCAAGAAATATTCGCTGAAATCATCGAGTAAACAGGGCTGGGCTTGCCGAACTGCTTGTATGTCTGCATCTTCTCGGGACAAGCATGAAAACAGCCTGTATGGAAAGTGTCTGCGAGGGTAGCGCAGAAGCTGGTGCAACACTGCAGAGACTCGGGCCACCAACCTGAAAAGAAGAACACACACTGACCGTGTGTACCGTCGAAAGGGAATGGCAGGGATAGTACGAATCAGAACAGCGTACAGGTCTTGAAATGCACGTGCAAGGTCGTTTCCTCGGAAAGCTTCGAGAACTCTGTAGCCACGAGCACCAGTCCGAAGCATCTGTGCTTCTTGCTCCAACTCCCAGTCTCTGGAAGCCAAGCGCAGAAACTCGAACATGACACGGAGCACAGGCGAAAGGGCAAGCCGCATCACGACCAGGACGTGAAATTCATCAGAGCTAGACCATGCCGCAACCTTTCCCCGGACTGATCGATTAAACTGCTCCCAGAAGCCACCTTCCTTTGATGCTGCACTGGCCTCTGGTGCAACCTGTCCTGCTTGAGCGGCTTGAACTGCACGTGCGACATCCTCATCAGCATTTGCGGCTACTTCGGCTACTTCCGGCACTTCCACAGGTGCCTCATGGGAGTCATTCAACTGCAATGCCACGAATTGGGCACAAGCATCTTGCCAACCAGTGTTTCTCGCGCCTTCTGGTACAGAATCCCCTGCAACACCTGCAGGACCTGCAGCCCCATCACCGGGCCGACGAGCTTGGGAAAGATTATCAGCATTGAAGCTGGCCAGAAAACGCTTTGTGGTTCTTTGCAATAAGTTGCAATGCGACGAAAGAAGTCCAAGAGCATCCAGTGGCACTTCACAACCGTGCCATCGATGTCGAGGGTACACCGGCACAGACTTCGGCAGCAATGCTGCCGGAACCCAATGCTGAAACAACTGCAAAGCCTCGTCCCGTGAAATCTCAAAGGGGGCATACCACGTGATCACGTCATCCTCAAGGTCCCCATTCATGAAAAATGACAAAACTCGTCGCTGCCACCTCCGCAAAGCATGCTGTTGGGACTGAACTTCGGCGTTGCTGTGCTTGCAGCTCAAGAACACTTCAAAAACTTGTGATCGAAAAGCTTCTGCGGCAGGTGGGGGTGATCCAACAACTACCTGAAAACTGCTTGCGATCTCCTCCATGAGGAAGAACCGAAATTTTGCTAAAGAGCCAGCTGGACGGAACAACAACCCATAATTGATCATGGCTGTCACGGTGTCAGATGTCAGACTGAACATTGCAGTTGTTGCTTGCGATGTTTTGTGCACATCACAGGGCAAGTGCACCCGTTTGGACAACGGGTGCAACTTTTGCATGGCTGCTTCGGCCTTGTAGTTGGAACCTGCCCTGTCCGTCGTGACGAGCTGCAGAACTGTAGGAAAGGCCGCGCAGCACGACTGCAGGCATGACAAGCAGCCTTCGATGTCACGCTGGGCTGCCAAAATATCCTCTGCTTTGGCTTCCTGTAAAGCCTGAAGCCAGAGAGGTACATTGCCAAAAAAAGACCGCAAGTCACCACTCTGCGAGTCCCGCAACAAGATCCCGAGACGAAGATGCGATTGTAGTACCTTCGTCACATTGGGGTCTCCTTGAGCCTTGTGCCTCAGTCGCAAAGGAGTCTCATCGTAGAACCGCTGCTTGATGAAGAGCAACGGCTCTACTGCGCCGTCCTGAATCTGCTCCAGGACTTGTCGCAGAAAGAGGTCCCACTGACCAAAACTGGATTCCAGAAGACCAGATGCCACGACCTCGATCATGCCAGTAACTCTTCCCTGCAACTTAGTTTCCAGTGTCCGGTCGCTTGTAACACATCGGCCGGGCTGCAGAACTATGTTCAAAAACTGTGGCATTTTGTCGTCTTCAAGATCACCCGCATCAGTAGGAAGTCGCTTCGCAGCTTGCACGCGCCGACTCTCAGAAACCATCAGCTGTTGGGTTGCTGACAATGACGCATGGTACTGATCCATCGCGGTGATCATTTGCAACATCTGCTCTCGCTGAGCAGAGCTGTGAACTTGAACAAGTTGGGAGCTACTCTTGCGCAACACCAACTGCTGCTCTGCCACGACATCTGCCAAAGTCTTCTGAACTGCTTGCTCCGACCAAACTTTTTTCCTTGGTCTGCCTTTAGGTCTGGCACTGGGATTTCGTGGGCCATTGGGCTTTCGTGGATCCTTTAGTTCCGTCGCCGACTGGGAAAAATCGTCTGCTGCATCTGCCCAGGAAGACGACGACGCTGCAATTTGCACTTGTGGACGCAGATTTTCAGCTGGCTGGATAAATGCTTCGACAGCAGCACCCCAGGAAGTCATTGACAGGGTGTGCGTGACCACCACCAACCGCACAAGAGCAGGCACCAGAAGTAGCATTGGGAGTGGCAGCTTGGGCTTGTAAACTCTAAACTCTACACTTCGGGTAAACCCTGCAATAAGTGCTAACTGACTGCGAGAAACTGTGGCACCTCACTGTTTGGACCTAGTGGACCTAGTGGAGCAAGCTGCTTCGAATCAACGCAGATCAACCGCCACATCTGTTTGTTTGGGGGAGATGGGAAACTTCGGGAGTCGCGGTATCGTGTTACCAGGACATTTCGAGGTCAGAGACTGGAGCGACCTGGGTGACTTCTGATTTACCCGTTTTTGTAGGGCCACGCGAATTGGCTGCGGCATACAACTTTGTCATAGCCTAAGCCAGCGGAACAAAGCACTCGGGCCTCCGATATTGGGTCACCAGGCTGGGATTTGACAGCTGGGATACGGCTTGGAGTGTTCGAAGTGGGAAACACAGGAGTTTCAGAAGAGAAAAGCAGCGAAGGGACAATCATAAACAGTGTAGGGCAGGGCAGCATGGGCACAGTAGAATCAGTAGTAATCAATAGTATCTTGACGGATGAGAAGCAGCAGCAGCAGCACTACCAACAACACGAGGAAAAACAACAACAACACCGCCATCGCACCAGCACCAACACCAGCAGTCACCAGCAGCGGAGCAGCAGCAGCACCACCACCACAAGCAGCAGAGAAGAAGAACAGCAGCAGCAACAACAACGAACAACAACACACCAGCAAGAACAATAACACACCACGACAAAGAGGACGACGACGACCCACGACAACGGTGAAATCAGAACACCGACAACAAAAACAGCTTCAACTTCTCATCACTAGTCACTAACCTCATTAACCGCGAAAGCCACAACTCACTCATTGATCGAAATTGCAAGCCGCAAGCCCCGAAAGCTTGCCGGCCTTGGGCGACTCAGAGGAATCCAGCTTGCCAGATTCTTCTTGACCGCGACGGCCCAGAAGCCGGAGCTGACAGCCCAGTCGTAGGTGTTCAACTGATCCAAGAACCTCCACTCATCATTGAATGATTTCACCCGAACTGCTCACATGTAGGTTGTAACAAAGTACATCGCATCACCCAGACACAGCGTTCCCTTTTGACACGTACGAAAAGTACCGGCTAGCAGCCTAGCGACCAAGCAACATCAGGCAATAAAGCCCGGAAGATAACCGTGATCCCAACACCGATTGGATTGCACGCTATCGGCTGGCTGTTGATTGCGGCGATTCCACACACACATACACACATACACGGGCACACACACACACACACACACACACACTTGTCCTCACAAGCCCACCCACACCACACACACACACACACACAAACACACACACACACACCCACCCACCCACACACGCACACACACACACACACACACACATGCACACATGCACACACACACACACACAAACCCACCCACACCCCACACAAACACACACACACACACACACACACACACACACACGCACACACACAGAGACACAAACGCACGCACGCTCGCGAAAGCCAGATTGCACTGCACGGAGCACGGCTAGACTGCTACAGCGCCAGAGAATTCTGAGCAAGTGCGGCAACTGATAGATGGGCACAGACATGAAAAACCACAAAAATGCAGCCGGGCAACATTTGCAGCGGCGTCTGATCGCTGTTGGAATGCATCTTGTCGTCCATTCCAAGAACATTTTCAAACACAGAAGTTTTGGGATCATGGACATCCAAGCTTTCGAAGAATTCTTGAAAAGTGACATTGAATGCGACATGCTTCTTCACTGTTCCTGCAGCAAAACGCTTGGCCCGCAATCGACTGTAAGGCTTGCAAGGAGGACCTGCGACTAGAATATCAGGGCGCGGGCCCGGCTCACATATCCAACTTCTGCTTTGGGTCTGCATATCCCCAAAGAATCTGTCCACATCGAAGTTGGCACTAATGAAAGCCTGAGAGGCCCTGTCGCAGTCGGAGGCGGTCACGATCCGTGCCGGGATCCCCAGCACCTGCAAATAAAAGCTGCATCTCCATTTTCCTATCAAGACTTTCATTCATGTTCTGATTCACTAGGTTTGCTTCGATAGTAGCCCAATCATGCTGCCTAGCCGTTAGCCGTGTTAATTAGCCTTTTAGCCGCTGGCGAGCAGGCAGCCCGACACTAGCCGAGACTTTAAACTTCGCCGTGCAATCTCCGAATACTGCATGTTTAATCAGTTTAATCCCCAACCAAATTCAGGACAGACAAATCAAAATCATTGTCACCGGTACAAGAGTCTTCAAGAGACACTCTTAGGATTACTACTAACCTCCACCTGACTACCTGTTTTGTAGTGCTACTAGGCTTACTAGGCTACTACTTCACACAGAAGCTCCAGACTGCAACAGCCAGGACCACCAGGACCTCAGACAGCCTCAGACAGTAACCAGCAGCACAAGCGCATCAGCCAATCAACGGCTGTCAACAGTATCAGAGTCTAGCTAGCAGCTAGCAGCTAGCAGCACCCGACGCATTAACTTCCCCAGCCCAGGGACAGCATACTGGACCAATCCCCTTCAAGGCCTCCAGCACGCTTGCTTCCGCCAGCGTTCCAGAACAACAGGACGCAATCATCAGTGCGCTTCGGCTTCGTTGTTCACGGCCCACATGCTTCAGAAGGACATTCAAAAGAGGCTTTACCCAAAACAGCTCAGGCAACACAGGTGTGGAAACAGGTACACCGGTTCTGTCAAATTCTGCTTCATCTCCTGAAAACGAGCGCCGCAGCGCTTCTGCTTCATCCAGTTCCTCCGACTCTGTCTGGCTCGTCGCCAGAAACTGTTCAGCCGCTTGTGACCAAGACATCACTCACTGCAAACGGACCTCGCAACCTGAGCTTAGGCTTGGGCTGATGCATTCAAGTGCCCAAGACTGCCCAGTCCAAGCTTCCGTCGCCAGCCTACGTGACGCAGTCAACTGTGAGCCACATGTTGCAGGCATTTCGCAAAAATTCATGCACCACAGAGCGTCCATTGGAAGCCGGTTCCATTCTAGCAGCTCTAGCACTCTAGCAGACTCTAGCTAGCAGATACGACCGGGTTACGACGGCATGCCGGGTATGTTCGATCTTCGCTGCAGCCAAGCCCGAACAAGAAAATATCAAACGAAGTCAACGAACTGTCACCGAAAGCCCTCAACTACCGAAGGGTGCCAGGTGGGCTGGGCTACTCTGCACAGCCGCTACGACCTGAATCTTAAACAGACTTGCCATCTGCTACACTGCTCTGCAAATCAACCGGGGAGTCAGTCTGGCTTCCGCACTGCACAACGAAGACAGATTTGTTGTTTCTTTCCTGGCTCGGCCTGGAAGAATGTCCGGAGACCACCTAAGCCCTAAGCGGCCTGGGCCTAAGCTGCTAGGGCCTGCTAGGGCTAGGTTCGGCTAGGCTAGCGGCTAGGCCGCTGCAGCTCTGTATCAAGGATCAACAATCAGGGCTGCTGCTACACTGCCACACCGATATGCTACGACACTGTACGCTACGGCCCATAGCATTGGGATTACAGAAGATCGGGATTCATTTGCTGCCGTATGTCCCTCAGGGTCGCCTGCATCTCCACAACAGCTCGACGCAATGACTCCAACCCATGTTCGAGCTGGGTGATGCGCCGTTCCAAACCGGCAAGAGAACTCGGCTGCCCATCACCCCGTACCGTTCCCGCATCACTTGCACCTGCAGGTTCTGAAAGCTCTTCACTGTCTTCGTTCGGCGACCGCAAAACGTCAGCTTCATCATCATCAGACAACGCATCCATCATGACACCACTGCCCTCCGACTCTGCAGACTCTGGCCACTCACGGGGCTGCCGAGGAGACACTGGTGGCGTACTTCGAAGCGGCCGCAGCCGTCTGATCATCTCGAATCAGGAGACTGCAGCAAGGAACAACAGCAGTACCATGGGGTCGCGCAACCACAGCTACAGTTATACAGCCTCGACAGCTATGTCAGCTACGTAACAGCTTTAGGCTACAACGTCTAGCCTAGCTCGTCTCGTGGTCTTGCAACGTTGACAACCTGTTATTTAAACTTAAACAATAAGTCACTAAAGTCACTAGAACCACTAAAGTTCACTAAAGTCACTAAAATTTAAAACACCTTCCTGACTTTCCTCTTGTAGGCTGAGTCTGTAATCGCCGCCGGGCCACATAGTCATAACACGAGATTGCCCCATAGGGAATCACAACCGGACTTCGCAAAATACCAGATGAACTCCGTTTACAATGTTTACAAGAAAATGTCATCGCAAAGGGAAAGGTTGAGGATGTTATTTACACGGAATCAAACCAAATCAAACATCATCTTCCAAGCGAGAAGGCCCGACAAAGTCCATCGTCAACGTACTCAACCTACGCATTTCGGCGCCCAGTCCCAAATCCTACACCCCAACCGTACACCTACACCTTTCGGCGCCCAGCCCCCAAAATCCTACCTACACTGCCTACACCTTCGGCGCCCACACTACACCCCCACCGTACACCTACACTACACCTTTCGGCGCCCAGCCCTCAAAATCCTACACCTTTCGGCGCCTACACCCCAAACCTACACTGCACCTTTCGGTTCGCACACCCCCCCCCCCACCCTACACCGACACCTTTCGGTGCCTACACGGGCTGCCTCACAGCAAACCACACACCCACGCAAAACATGTAATGAACAGCTTTGCCGGCCCCAACGACCTTCGCAAACCAGGCCCGCCCTCCCGCATGAAGTTTAAAATAAAATCAAGTGACAAGTGAGTCAAGCATGAAAGCAAACAAATGATGACATGACGTGCATGACCAAAATGCACAGACACCGAGTCGACAAGCGCCCAACGAAATTTGTGTCTTCGGGACTGTTGTGCTTCTCGCACAAATTTAATTGTTCCTTGCAAGTTCCTTGTGCTGGAACTCATTTTTAATTCGGCCGAGCCTTATGTGGATCTCAAAATTTGAAACGGGGTTGTGATGGTTGAAATACTGCTGTGGTTCTGAATTTGATCCAAATTCTTTCATGTGTTTCTGAATGTTGTCCGAGTTTTTACTGAGTTTTGATTGAATTTATTCCGAGTCGTTCTTGTGTCTTTCTCGAACTTCAGTTGGTAAGATGTGGTTGAGCATGGTTCTGAGTTGTGTTTGAGTTTATTCCGAGTTTTTGCCGAGTTTTTGCTGTGTTTTCGACCTACTGATTCTCGAACTTCAATTGGTGAAATCAGGTAAAATATGATTGAACAAGCGTTTGATTTGGTTTTGAATATTTTCCGAGTATTTTCCGAGTTTTGTCCGAGTATTGTTCGAGTTTGTTCTGAGTTTTGAGTTATTTCTGAGTTTTGCCCGAGTTTTCTGTGAGTTCTGGTGCAGAAGCTGAGTCTGAGTTGTATTTTGGTTGAGTTTTAAACGAGTTTTTGTGTACATTGAACTGAGTTTTGGGGGAGTCTATGTTTTGAGTTTCAGCCGAGTTTTATTTGTGTTTTACAATTTCGGACAACAAACCCGTCTGTGTGGGTTGAGAACATCACAACGCTACACGCAGCCTTGGATTTTGAAGTTCTTTGTTTGGGCTGGTCCCTATTTCGGCTCCTAACGAGGCCCTGTTCTTTGAAGCCCTAGACCCTAAACCCTAAACCGCGTTTGAGGGTTTGGGGTTTAGGTCTTTAGGGTTCCAGGGGGGCCCCTGCTTGAGGCTGCCAAGTTTGCCTGATTTGCGAAGGGAGGCACTCGTGTGAGGTGGTGCCATCCTCCCAGACCCCCGGGAGGATCTAGAAAGAAGATCCCCTAATTTGGGGCCTTATACTACTAAGGGTACTATATAGGAACCCGCTTTAAGGGATCTACATTTTGGATCCTCCCGAAGGTCTGGGCTAGCACAAACTTGCAGCCGCTGCTCAAGGAGACGCCAACACTCCCAGAAGCCTAGCTGCCCTAAACCCTCAACCCTGCACCCTAAACCCTAAACCCTAAACCCTAACCCCTAGTTCCGAAACCCTGAACCCCCTAAAGAGTGCTTAAACCCCAAGTCCCTAAACCCTTTGAAACCCTCCTTTTTTCCCCCTAAGCGCCTAAAACCGTAAACCCCTAAATCCTAGAACCAGAAAGGCGCCCTCAGCCCCCGGACCCTTCTAGAACCCTTTCAGAGCCCTTACTTGGAGGTTCATGGGTGCGTTGTAAGCAGGATAACTATAGCTATAACCCATATGAGGGGCCTTATAACTCTACTTACAACTACCCATGAACCTCCAAGTAGAGGTGCCTTTTAGAGGAACCCTTACCAACCCGAAGCTCCAAGCCCCTAAACCAAGAAGCTCGTTCTCTAAATCAGGGTGCCTGTTACAAGGTTGCCGTCCTATTTTGTGGACCTAAGAAAGGGACCCTAATTCAGAGAACTACCCAAGAAGTACTCCCTGAAACCCTATAGAACCCTTAGAGATGCCTTGACATTAAATTTTAGGGGAACCCTTTTGGGAACTCTCGGCCCCTGAAACCCCCAAGCCCCAGGAAGCGCTCTGGGTCCTCCAGTGCATAGTCCAGCATCTCGGGCATGAGGGGACGTCGCTCCCAGAGGTGACGGTCCTTCGGATTTTTCGTTATGGGTTTAGTCTTTTACGCGCCTCTTTTCTAACTTGTCTGTTCGCAGTCGAAAATCCCAGGGCGGAAGGCAAGGGTTGAGGGTTTAGGATTTAGGGTCCTGCGGTTTAGGGCTCAGGGTTCCCACAAGGCTTACTGAAAGGGTTCCATAAACGCATCCAAAAGCGTTCTGTAGGGGCTTAGGGCTTTGCGTTTAGGAGTTTCAGGGTGTAGGTTTTGGGTTAAGGGGGCCCCCCTTAGTCGGTCCTGCGAGAAGCGGTCGTGGATAGCCTGCTTCCGCTCCTGTCAGGATTTTTGTTTCAAGAACTCAAAACCACTGTGCTCTGTGCATATGTATGCATGTATGTATATACATCTATATATATATATATATATATATATATATTTGGGTTTTTTGACATACAAAGACACACACACACACACACACCGTCCAGTTATTTATTTATAAAACTCTCTTTCCATGTCTTTATTTATGCGTGTGCATGTACATACATAGAGAGGGAGAGTGATACACACGCATGCCTCTCAGCTGTCATGCAAATATACATAGACATGCAAGCACAGGCACATAGGCACACAGGCACACAGGCATATACTCTCTGCACACAAACAACACATCAAAGTAGTATCATCATGTAAGACATAAAAGCACCACAACAGAATGCAGGGATTATGGGATGAACCTAAACCCTAAAACCGAGAATCTAATGAACCAAATTGAGCCAATTGCTCACAAGGATTTCGGATATAGGACTTAGGGTTACAAGTCTACGGCTTTGGGCTCTTGCCTTGCCGAGCCATGTCTTTGGGGTTCAGGCGGCGCTGTGCGGATTGGAATACTTTTGGGGCCTTAATAATTGGAATTAGTGTTTCGGGGCCCATGATACTACAACTATCATCAGGACCCTCCAAATAGTATTGGGAATTATTTAAGCCCCTAATATAGAACCTTAGTATAGATTCGTTATAAACCCCTTTAAGGATCTCTTTAAAGGGAACCATAGGTGCAGAATGAAGAATTTTCACAGACCTCCTTAGCGCGAGATCCACAAAGATTAAGAAGGTTCAGGGTTTAGGGGGCGCAAAACATCCCAACACTCAACCACTCAACCCTCCACCGTACCATTGACCCTGAATCCTGAACTGTAAACCCTCCGCCCTGCCCTAAATGAATAAATAAACACTTGTGGCAAGAAACTCTGGAGATTAGGACCTAGGATTCTCCACAGGAACTATGACCTCTTGTGTTTACACCTGAAACGCCCTTCGAGACGCCCTAAACCCTAAACCTAGACCCTAAGTCCTAAACGATACATCCTACATCTAACCCCTACGCCCCGAACCCTAGACCCTAAGCCCAAACCCCAACACTAGACACAATCGGACAAGGGGCCTTAGAAACGCCGCTGCCGTTAGCGAGGAGGCGGTACTGCTCAAGAAGCCTCGAGCTGATCTTGGGACGGAGGTTTTTCGCTACTTGGAGGTTCATGGGTAGTTGTAAGTGGGTTCTAAGTCTCCTAGTTATAACGATAGTCATCCTACTTATAACCCTACTTATAACTACCCATGAACCTCCAAGTAGTACTGGGGCCTGAATGAATAGTAACTCTTGTAAGGTGGCTCTATACGGGTTGCTGTAAGGGTTTAGTATAGAGACCTTAGTGAAAGAATAGTCGAATAGTGTTATGACAAGCGACCCCGGGGAACACGATTCGCAATTGTTTCAGGAAGCGGTTTCAAAAGCAGCACCCCCCTCGAGAAGACTCACGTCTCATGATCCTTGGTGTTGCTGTTGAAGACATGGGTTCTAGAAAGAGCTCTATGAAGGGCTACGATAGCTGATGGATTACATTATGGAAGTCGTTGCTGTGTTCTGACATACTCTGCAAAGACGACACCTCGACGACGCTAATGCTGGTCCACGATTGCGGCGTTTAGGATGAGGGTCAACAACTTCCCACCGGAGATGTCGCCGCATCGTCACAAGACTTTGATGACCCAACGACTTACCTTTGGTTAGTAGGGAATGGAAGAATGGTAGTAATAGTAGTTATAATTGTATCCCATTCCTCCATTCCCTACTAACCAACGGTAAGACGAGAGGATGTAGAAACGACGAAGCCGTGCCAAGCACTTCACACCTGCCGGCGTCAGGATCCTCTCGAAGAGCTCCTTCCTGGGGTGTTCCTTCAAAACGGTCGATGTAGGGTTTAGGGTTTAGGGTTTAGGGATTGTCAACCAAGTGTTTGCCTGGAATTTGACCGGCTGCCACGACTGATGCCGGCAACAC